ATATAATTCACATGATTCCTCTTTATTACTTCAAAATGAGTTACAAAGGTTGAACTAGACTATTACAACGTTATTACTGCTTTTAGCCCAGAAACACGGGCGTTACAGTAAAAGACGTGACGACGGACACGCCAATATGGGTCCGACGCAGCGCACCTCATGAAGGAATCTTCAATAGAATCGGTTGAGGATACGCCCCTAAAAAAGGTATAAAAGGATCCTTCTTCCTCATTAGGAAGGGGACAATATTCTCTCTTTCCTGTAATTTTCTACCATCTTTCTCATATCTCATACTGACTCGATCGTCGGAGCTTCGTCCTGGGAACTCCTATAGGATGTTGACTAACAGTCATTTCTCTCTTTTGCACTGTGATAGCAGGAGAAGATATTCACAAGGATCTTTCCTGCAGTTCCACCGCTATCCTCTCCGACATATCACAACATTTAGCTCCATCCTGGCATATCTTTAGAACGATACATCCACGAATCAAACCCAGAAAGCAACAATGGCATGCGATATCCCAGTAACATTAGGGGCAGCCGCGAAAAGCCTGATGCACCCAATGCGGTCAGTTGACGGTGGGAAAACTTTCGTTTAAGAGGAGCACGCTTCAAACCACATACCGACCTTACAGACACTATCCATTTTGGTGGCCGAAACGGAGACAAGTTACATAGCTAATCTATGGTGCCCAACAACCAGCACAACCCCGCAAATAACAACCATAACCATAACTCCACAAATCATTCCAACGCAACAAACAGTGATCCATGCATCACAATCACTATCCTTCCCGCACGTTTCTGGCACCGGAACCTGGATCCCTCACACCATCTAACCGCAGCCACAATATCCCTCGATTGTCCATCCACATGCCGCTATGACAGGGTTGTCTCATGTGCTGATATTTGCACAACAACCGCCAATCTTCAACTAGCTTACACAACAGACGCAAAGTGCAACCCCTGCACTATCTCAGCCGCAAGTAACATGCGTGCAAACTTCGTCCAGCTAGGGACCTGACCCATATGGATCCGGGGGTCCAGCTCTCGGTGGCATCTAAATTCAACCCCTTCATGACAGTCGGTCAACCGTTCAACCCGTATACACAACAGTACACAAGAGAAAGCTCGTATCTGGTTCCCCCGAAAAGGCAATTTGCAATCCAGACCTTTGGATCACAGCCAAACCTACTACAGTATCAACCATAAATCTTGCAAGCGGCCATACATAACCAGATGTATGTGAGCCCTTACCAGATGCATCAACACATGGCTTATGGTGGTATGCCATACCCATACATGGACAACCCCATGCGAAGTGCAAGTTCCAACTTCATCCATGAACTCCTGCAGTACGAGATCCTACACACTATGATGATTCCAAACATGCCAAAGTATGACAGCACTACAGACCCAGATGACCAAATCGAAAACTATGAATGGACGATGACATATCTTAAGATGGATCGCCGCTTCACCTGCACGTATTTCCCTTGTACCTTAACAAGAAACGCAGGCAAGTGGTTCAAGTCTCTAACGCCAGGCAGTATCTCAAGCTTTGAGAAGTTGAAATACCTTTTCCTCAATAACTTCATGCAACTGAGAAAAGGAAAATGAGACACTAACTCCGTGATGTCGTGCAAACAAAAAGAATGAGAATCGATCTGTAAGTACTATGACCGGTTCACGCTAGCTACCTTGAATGTCCTAGGACATGAAGAGTTCCTGGTGATAGGTGCCTTTTCCCAAGGTCTACTTCCTCGACCCCTATCAAGAAAGATGCAAGGAACAGTCCCTCGATCCAAGGACGAACTCAAGTTCCGTGTGGAAAAGTACCTAAGTCAAATCTAGGGGGAAGAAAGAAAATAGGTCAATATCAAAGCCGTGGCTAACACTTATCTCAAACAGGAGGAAATGGCGCCCCGGGAATGACTGGTTCAGCAAGAAAAGCAAGACAGCAACCAACAGAGACACAACCGCCATTCCAGGCACATGTCACAACAATATAGAGCATTCAACAGGGATGATAGCAGAAGTAGCCACAACGACGTCCACGCAATCAATAAGACTCCAGCCAAGGAGAACAAAGAAAAAAACCAAGTTATACGAGTACCATCAAAGCAAAACGCACGACACCAACGAGTGTACGGTATTGAAGCGGGAGATTGATGAGAAGCAACTAGTGGGGAATACAGTCGCCATAGCAAAGGATCTCAGGGCGAGATTTGATGGGGACAAGCATCAGCCCAAAAATTAGAAATATGGGGCAAGGATAACGACAAAAGGGTTGAGATACTCACCATCATAGGGCCCCGCCGATGTAGCAACTGCCAAAGCCAGCATGTACATGTAGGCGCACAGGTACACCAGCAAAACATCCTCAATATAACATTCTCAACACACGATCCCCGACCAAAGCACTGGGATCCGAATGACCCTTTGCACATCACCGGTTTCAATAGCCAAAACCGTGTTGAACAAGTATACATAGATACCGGAAGCAAGTTCAACATGATTTATGAGCACTGCCTTCAACGGTTACCAATTGAATGGAAATAACACATCCAGTTGCCATGCCAGGGCCCATTAGTTGGGTTCACCGGTCATGGCATTTGGTCAATAGGAACATTCACGCTCCCATTTACATTGATCAGTCATGATGGAACCAAACAAATAATAAGAGTGCTCAAATTCTCGGTTATTGACTGCCCTACTGATCACAATATCCTACTAGGTCGGCTCGCACTATTCCAGTTACAAGCAATCCTGTCTACTTTTCACGGTGTTCTCAAGTTCAACACAGGCGACTGATCGGAAATGGTAGTGGAGGACAAGACGGATAATGGATGTGACACTCAACGAGGAATGAAACGAGAAACCCGATTACCTCGGAGCTATGATTTCCAGCAAATGGAAGATCCACAGCAAAAAGTAGCAACATCACAAGCGCTGACCCGTGAGTCTAGGAAAAGACAACGAGGTGTATTCAGCCGGCTCACAACGTCTCTCCCCTAAGGGGAGGGATATACTGACCTAACGATACGTCAACCAAAGTATGAAGCAAAGATAGCAAAGCAAAAAAAGCACCTACTCATGGGTGAAGGCACCAGCCTGGCCCACAACTGATGGTCGAGCCGTACCCCACCAGAGAGCGATCCGAAACTCAAAGAGCATTTTCGCCAATGCAGAATATGAACAAAAATCATGTGGAATGAAGTAGATTGGTACTGAAGTCAGGGACAGAGTGCCACTCCTCCTACCACACAAACTTTCCTACGGGAGAAAACTACCAGACACCCCTAACGCACTAAACGACACACCAGGAAATGGCGTGAGAAATAAAGTTGATAGACGCACCAGATAATGCAAATGACACTCTCACCAGGCAGTAGGAAGGAACCTCCCATGGTTGCATCTCATACTCTGTCGAGAAGAAAGGAAAGTCTAGACACCTCCAGAGTATGAACAAGCAAAGTTCATCTCACTCACGCTGGGCACCACTGGCAAAGACAGGTAGAAATTCCAACTCATCAGGAGGCACTTGTCGTAGACAGGGCACTGAAACACAGCGTAAGTGGGGTAGCCATTGCAGAGCACTCACTCCAAAATAAATCGGGGGCCAAGAAAAAGGAGTATGGTCGAACTCCACACAAGATAACCATACTCCATGGCAGAAAACTCAATCCAAAATAAAACAGAGGTCTGGCAAAAGGAGAATGGTTGAACTCCACATAAGATAACCATACTCCATAGCAGAAAACCCAATCCAACCTAAAAATGGAGGTTTGGCAAAAGGAGTATGGTCGAACTCCGCATAGGATAACCATACTCCAGGCGCCAAAGCAAAAACTGGGAATACGCCCTGACACTTAGACATTCAAGGTCTACTACCTTATGTCATTCTTTCTTTTTCAACAAATAATATAATTTGCATTTTGAAAGAGCTTTCCAGAATTTTGTATTGCAAAAACACAAAGTATAGAGGTTGTGCATATTTTCCAAGTAGCAAGAACGACTGATCACCTACGCCACTTGAGCAAAATCCATGCAAGGATGCAACCGTAGCTCTTAAAAGAATCATAATCTTTACCTACAACGTGCCAATAACATCTCAAAATTGAGAATGTATAAATCAAAATTAATGGCACAGTACAAGGGGTTTTTAAAGATTCATAACCTTTCCCTTGATATCACAACAATAAAAGGTCTTGAGGTGACGATATTGACCTATGTATTGACAGCTAGACCATACAATACAATCCCCAACAATGACTTACATTGCACGGCTTAACACATTAAGTCTAACTAAACACACAAACCCTATAACAAGGGAGTGTGTGGTAGAATAGCCTGTCCTCAATGACATCACTAACAAATCTTAATATATGTGTTAACATGCCACAATAATGTGTACATACAAAAAGAAAACAGAAGAGAACACTTCTATATAAAGTACTAAACAAAGTACACAGTTTATGGTGGCTAACATTCTTTACTATACACATAATACATTCAAAGGCAACTACAAAACAGGCAAAAGGGCGAAACACAAATCAGCCCTCGAAATCTGAGGAAGAACCTCCCGAATTTGACCTTCCACAAAACTGGCAGAAGCCATCATAATCCAGCTCCCCCAAGTGAAAGAGGCCCACAAAAATCTGTCTTAGCCAGGGATGATAGGGCGACATCCACCTTTTTAGCCCTTCTTGTAACACGGACAAGATCTAGGACTTCAGGTTCTCCGACACTTGCAAAGTGACCACCCAGTCATCTCCGCTATTGAAACCCAAGGGTTTCACATGTGTCACAAACACCCCGGATCCTGCTGGAAAATTCTGTGATCTCGACGACCTTGTCAATTATGCGAACCACCCCCTTCTCCAGCATACAGTGAAAATTACATTGAGCGACCGCTCCATCCACACATGTACGGGTCATTTGACATTGGCACTTGGTCAATTTACTCACCAACACATCTTTCTCCCGGACAAGAGAAATCACTTGGTCCTCAAGTCGCTCCGATCTGTCCCTAAGGTAGCCATTTGATCCTCTAAAGCGGCCTTCTCATAGGCCACCATGAAATTCTTCTCAGTAAGAACTTGGCGCTCTACCTCTGAGTCACGAGCTTCCTCCATCATTCCTGCCAAGGTACCCTACAATACTTTCAACTGACTATGATTCGCGTCAGCACGGCGAACCCGGTCAGAAGTAGCAACCATGAGAAATATGGGCCGTGGTGTAACAAAGGTCACCGGTCATGCGATCACTTTATTGGCCCGCAAGTGAACTCGTTGTGGCTAGAGGATGAGCGCACCTACTCCACTCCTGGGCGGTAGTGTCCTTCGACAACAATGAATCTCTGGTATTCGCCCAGCCCAGAGTGTAGGACTCAAAATATAGGGAGTGAGATGAAGTCCCTGTTCCATCAATTAGAGAAGGCTTCCCGCATTGACATGAATCTTCAAGTGAACCTGGCGCACCCTCAGACATAAAGCCAGAACCAGGATTAACCAAGGGAGAACCAACGATTGGTTAAGGCGATGCCTCCGGATAGCTAGGCATCACCACTATCTCCTTCTACTCAGGCACAGAAAATTGACGGCTAAGAATATCCCCGATAACGCCAAGAAGCATGGCCATAGATACAGTCATACGGGCTTTACGAGGGCGAAGACCCACATCGTCAGATTCAGTATCCTCATCCGATGACACAAACTACACCTCTTTTGAATAGGAGTACTATATCTTCCTATTTTTGATCCTGCAAGAAAACCAGATGGAATGGAAATTGGCGAACGAACTGGGGAAACAACTGCAACGGTCGGCTGGGAAGGCGACGCAGGCCCACTAGAACCAATATTTCCCCTTTCCACCAAGAGCAGTCCAAAAAGTTCTCTCATGCGTCTTTCAGATAATGGAGGAGGAAGAGTCACTATAAGATCGATCTCACGATGGCAAAGCTTGCCCTGATAGTGAACACACAGGGCCATCTGCAAAGAAATCTCGGCCTTAACACATGTGAAAAAAACATCAACAGTAAGATCCCACAGGTCAACAATATATCTTATCCTCACTCTGTTTTCAACGAAGTAAAGGGGGTGGGGCAGAATGAGATAAGTTAATACCGCATCTCACAACAAACATTTGCACCATCTTCCCACGAGCCCTCCAGGCAACACTCATATCGGCCGCTGCAAGAATGAAATCTTCCCAGTTCCTCCCAGCGATAGTGATGTTTCCTAGATGCTTACCGAGAGTCAGATTGCTCGCAAACAACTTAGGGAGACGATCAGAAAAGTCTTGGGGTTCTACGAGACCCATGCCCCACAAGGTTTTGGTTAACCCAAAGCCACTGACGTTGCCAATTTTTCCTCGGGGCATCTTGTTTAGAGATCAACTGACGAATTCCTCATCTCTTCGCTAAAGTGCGGACCCCGGAATTCGTAGTCGAACGGAAGAAGTAACTGAAAGCCCAGAAAGTTGGTACGTAACCCAAAGATTGGCAAACCAGTTCAAAACCGAAGATTTTATCAACAACACTCGGGGTCAACTCATCGACGGAAAGACCATAGTGGTCCACGATCATGTTGAAGAAATCGAATGTTGGCAAGCGTAACACCGCCTCAAATAGGGGGATCGAAACCCCCACCTTCTCTTGAGGGCGACCGTATGATAAGCTACACATTCATTGTATTTTACGTGAATTTATTGACTTTTTAAACAGGAAAATCACCTCCAAAACGATCAAATTACCAAAATATCTATTTTTTTATGTGAAATTATGTTCGCGAACATAAAGTTACCCCAACTAATATAAATACATTGATATTATCTAGAATTTTGTGTTGCATAATTGAATATTTTTAGCTCATATTATTATCAGTGATAATGATTTAAAACGATAATATATACTTTTTAATTTGTATTTATATTTGGCCACTGAGTTTTTTTGTCCATATTTACCCTTTTAACTTGTTAACCGTACACATTCAGTCCTTAAGACCGACTACTCTAGGTAACCCGAAAAAATGACTTAATATGGTAATATATTTATCATTTTGTATATATTTAGTCCTTAATATTTTTTTGCAGATTTAGTCATTAATATTTTTTTGTTGCAAAATAAGTCTTTGTTGTTTTTTATACACATTCGGTACTTACGACTTGTTTATTTAGGTTTTCTCACGACATTGTATGTGGCACAATCATTAATAACGAGTTCGGAGATGTTGATGCTTTGGGCCACCATGGCCTCTGCAGCTTTGTTGCTTTGGTCTTGGGTTCCAAACATCGTAACTACTTCATACGATCTCGGATTTTAACTATCTTTTTAAATGCGTATTCTTATTTAAGTCTACTACAACTTTTGTTTAGATTACTCTCGTTAAAAAGTAATATATATTTTGACTTTCGATCTTTATATCCATGTGTTCTTTATTTATGTATGTGTGAACCTTTTTTTTTTTTAAATCGTAAGTAAAACATCATACTTTATAATGTGAGTAATGAAGAAAAATTGTAATAGACTCAAATAAAAACGCATTAATATAAAAATCGTTAAAATCCGAGATCATATGAGGAAATTACGACGTTCAGAATACAAGACTTAGGTCAAACCACAAGACCTAAGCAATAAATTAGTCGAGGCCGCAGTGACCATAAACATAATCATCTCTAAATAACTTATTAATAATTGTACCATGTAAGATGTTGTAAGAAAAAAAAATCGGTAGTAAGTACTAAGTATGTAGAAAAACAAAAATGACTTATTTTGATATATATATATATATATATATATATATATATATAGGGCTAGGTTATTTTGTTTTTTACATTTATTGTGTGCTATAATGCACCAATAGAAATTTAGTAAATTAAATAATTATTTAATTAAATACTGATAGACATTAAATGATTTCCATAATTATAATTCTCTTTTTATGGAAACTAATTAAATTTGTCGTTAATGCCAGCAATAACATTCTTTCAGAATGAATTTACATCTAGGTTTTATATATGAGTTCGTACTTTGTTTCAAGACTCAATCACTTAAAATGCAATAAAGTTGTATGAAATATGAAGAATGAGAGTGTATTCTATTAGAATACATTCACATTCTGCTGCAATACACTCCCATTCTTCTAGATATGAATTTTTTTTGAAAGAATATTGTTGTTGACATTAATGACGAATTTAATTAGTTTCCATAAAAATGAGTTATAACTATGGATAACATTTAATATACATATAACTAATACTAAATTCATATTGGTGTATTCTAGCACACAATACCTCTCTCTCTCTCTCTCTCTCTTTCTCTCTTTCTCTCTCTCTCTATATATATATATATATACATATATATATATATATACATATATATATATATATATATAGACAAAACTGCAAAAATGGTCCCTGCGGTATGCATTTTTTTGGGGTTTTAGTCCAAACAGTAACTTTTTTGGTTTCGTAGTCCTTTTGGATTACTTTCATTGTAGAATTGGTCCCTGATAATGTTGAAAAGACTATATTGCCCTTTTAATTTGTTTTTTCCATTTACATAAATACTTTTTTTTCTTTTATTTAATTATAAATGTTAAATCAAATCAAGAATAAGACCTCTCTCTCTCTCAGTTGGGGATTTGGCAATGGCTGATCGGAAGAAAAAGAGGCACGAAATCAAAACATCCAAACACCTTCATCCAAAAATCAAACCAAGTGATCATTTATACAAGATTCCTAAAATCGTATCAATCACTTTAAAAACAAAGTAACAAACATCCAAACACCTTCATCCTAAAATCAACAAAATCAAACAGCAACTGAAATCCCACTTCTGCCAAAACACACTCATAGATACTTATGCAATGTCGAACCAGAAACCCAAATCCCACTTAAGTAATCAAAAAAATTAAAACCCATATCACCATTTTGGATCAATTGCAGAGAATGACCCTAGTAAGAGCAAGAACCAAACAAGAAACAGTGAAGAAAAACAGAGTAACAGAGTCTCTCGTTGACCATTTCTTCACTTCTTTACCTTCAACCCTCAAACTTTTAGCCCTTCGAAGTGCATCAACTTCCTTCAACAAATCAAACTCCAAACCTTTCTTCTTCAATTCCTCCACACACTTCCCCAATAACTTCCCATCTTCTTTCTCCCTCTCCAGTAATTTCTCCAGATGTGATTCTGTGTTTGTCTTGTAACGAACAACCCAGATTAATCCCAGAGAACAGAGGAGCGAACAGAGAGATGGGATCCATGATCGGTTGCATGATCCAGATGTAGACCCCCTCAAGTAGAAACGAAGGAGTCCACTATATGTGTGATTTGGTGAATATCTTGCACTTCGATTCCTCTCAAGAACAAATTCATCTCCTCCAACTCTCTTGTTCTTCCCGTTGGTTTCAGAGTTTGGTTTCTTGGTGGTGTTGAATGAAGAATTTCTCTAACTTACACAACTGTTGCTTCGTAATACCTTTTTGTTAAATCCCCCTTTTGATTTTGTTCGATCTTGCCATGATTTTGAGTATGATCTTTCGACGCCATTTACTCTGCTGAAAGTGTCGTCGTCGTCTTTGTTGGATCCTCCATAGCGGTGGATGAACCCCATAATTTCCATCTCCATCGTCTTGGTTTCTTCCCCTCTTTCTTCTCGCTATTGTCTTTGAACCCTAATTCAAATGTCTCTGAGCAATCATCTCTTAAGGAATTTGAATATGAATCCCTTGCTAATTCTCACTCACTGCTGATGCTTGGAAATCTTTTTAAGGCGCCATGACCATTTTCCGTATGGAGTTAGACCTGTCGAGGCTTTTCCTACGCTTGGAGGAAGAATCGGAGTAATATTCTTTGAGAGCGATTCGATTCAGGATCAGTTCTTCTTTAAGCCATTGCTTTAACAGAAGCTTGTGGGTTGGAGTCATGGCGATTTCGTGAAATGGGTAGAGAAATGTTTTTGATGATGATTCCACGATCGCTGTAGGTCTTTGCTCTTATCCGCCATTAAATCAGTTTCTAGAGAGAGAGAGAGAGAGAGAGAGAGAGATGTCCCATTCTTGATTTTATTTAACATTTATAATTAAATAAAAGAAAAAAGTATTTATGTAAATGGAAAAAACAAATTAAAAGGGCAATATAGTCTTTTCAAGATTATCAGGGACCAATTCTACAATGAAAGTAGTCCAAAAGGACTACGAAACCAAAAAAGTTACTGTTTGGACTAAAACCCCAAAAAAATGCATACCACAGGGACCATTTTTGCAATTTTGTCTTATATATATTAAGGACTAAATGTACAGAAAAAAAATATTAATAATTAAATGGATACAAAATAAAAAAAATATATTACCGTATTAAATATTTTTTTAAAACTGTTCTGAAATGACCGTCATAAGACAAATACAAATCAAAAGTCTATTAGTTTTTTTAAGTAATTATCCTTTATTATTTTGGGATGAGCAAAAATCGATCCGAAAACCAAAAAACC